TCGCTATAATTTGCGCAGTATAATAAGGAACCCCAAAAAATAATGTTGGTAATTGTTTAGGCCCCTACATTATATGCTTTGGTGTCCTGAGTTCAGGGTCTTGCACTTGATGATCGGGCCTCTCGGCACGTAGGCTTCTTCCTACGATGCCTGTATGGCAGGACCTCGTCTACCCATAGAGCAAGCCAAACACAGAGCCATAACCCTAAACCCTCAAACGTAAACCATACAGGTCCCTCGACCCTAAACCTCTAACACGTCAAATCCTCGACTCCGTGAGCCCGAAGAGCCTTGCCTCTTTCGGAGGTGGTTCGCATGAGCGTTTGCTGCACTGATGTGGAGGTTGCGCTCCGTCTGGCATAAGCAGAGGGTCTTTGTGGATAAAGGTCAGAGATGGGGTTTAAGTCCAAGTGTCCCAGGGTGCATCTCAAGTATCTAAAGACTGCTGCACAACATCACCTGCATCTCTATGTCCTCACTGTGCTCACAGCTTCCATCAGCAACCCTATCGTCATGTATGATGTCATCAGCATCATCTCTCTACCGCTGCAGCGACCGCTCGGTGACTTGCAGACTCGAGCAAACAGAATTCGCACGCAGAGGTCGCCTTCGCGACGGCTCCTTCACTTGCTCTTCTTATGCAGTGGCGATGCTGTCCTCACCTGTCCCACCCTGAACCATGCTGAACAGGGCAACCCTAAATCCCAAACCCTAAACCCACCCTGAACCATACTGTACGCCTGCGAAAAAGATTTGAAGATCGTGGGCAAGAAGGAGGGCTCTTCGTGAGACTCCATGCCGTAGATACCAAGCTCCTCGGACAAAATCAGTCAATTCTCAAACCTTCCAATATCCCTTCATTCAGGAACCTGCCTTAATTCATATTACGGTCTAAGGTTTAGGGTTCAGGGTTTAGGAACTACAACTTGAAGTATGCTCCTTGGATCAAGGATATTGGAAGGTCCGAGTTCTTCGGATCCGCCTTTCCCTTTCGAAGCTTCGGGGGAGAAGTGCAAGCAATGTTCGGATGTAGGTGCTACTGCAATATAGGGGTTTTGGTGTTCAAGCCACCTCGTAGTGTAAATAATATATGAGGGGTCTAATTCTTACAAGCTTCGGATGTAGGTGCTACTGCAATATGGGGTTTTGGTGCCCAAGCCACCTCGTAGTAGAGGTAATATGTGAGGGGTCTTAAGAATCAGAATCGGGTTTATGGGGTCCTTTATGCTATAGATGTATTAAGGACCCCCGCCCCCCCCTCCAAAAAAAAAACAATAGTATTGGTAAAGATTCGCCGAAGCGCGAGCGGTCAGAAGGTCGTATTCGGATTCCCTCTACTCCCCACCTCTTAATCCCTTCCCCACCCTAACGGGGCCGGGAGGATTCGTCTGTGTGAACCCATAAATGAGCTCCAAGGTCTGCGTGAAATTTCGCCTCCGTGAGGGTAACCGCCGTTCGGCTCCTTCCGCTCGCTTTCGCTGGCCAGCCCGGCCCCCTTCCCTCCGGGCGTCTCCTGTTGGGCCCCTTCCCTTCCTCCTACCGTGAGGCTTCGGATGAGGGCTGAAGCTGCACTCGTATCCCCACGCAGTCCCAAATGAATATACTATCAAAATACCACGAAACCAAATCTACTTCTCGCCATCTCCAGACTGCTTGAACAGCTTGACGGCTCAGGTTGCCGCGACTTGTATACTTCAGCCGAAGGGTTCCATGTACACAGGAGTACAAAAATATAAACCTGGCATGATATCTTCCTACCAGCATACGGCCGTTCCGAGGCGGACGACGCGAAGCGCTTAATATTATACTTTACTTACAATCAGGAACCCCCAAAACAACGTAGCTAACTATATTAGATGGTATGTGCTGTGTGCTTCAGTATTCGGCTTACCAGGTGCTCCTGAAGCTTCATTCCAATACTATACAACAGAAGGACTAGGGTTTAGGGTTTAGGGTTCAGGGTTTAGGGTTCGAGGTTTAGGGTTTATAGGGTGTCGGGAACACAAATCCCCGAAGAGAAGTCATGATTGGTTCTCCGGTCTGGTGCTCTTCTCGGGGTGGGTATGCGCCCATGCCTCCTGGTTTGAGATTCAGAAGCCGTAACCCGCCAACCGGCGAGGAGTCGTTTACGGTTTCCGAGATTCACTCGCGGAGATGACGCAGAAGGACCACGAAAACGATCCAGCAGCCTACATGACCCAAAAGGCTTCTATACCCTACATGACTCTAACGCCTAAGCCCTAAATTACCCTGAACGCTTCTGCAGGAACCTGATAAACGCACCCCGGCCCAAACAAAACACGCAAATTGTAGGATTCCTACACAGAAGTCTGGTGAGGACCCAGGTTTCTTAAAATCAGGTTCCTGTATATATTACACCCTAAACCCTACACCCTAAGCCCTGAACCCTAAACTCTAAACCCCAAAACTAAACTCTAAACCCTGAGAATAATAGCAAGAGTAGTAGTAAATAGCCATAGTACTCGTAATAGTGACAGTAACAGTAATAGCAACTGTAATAGTAGCAACAATAGAAACTCAGAGTAATTAAGTAGCAACAGTGATAGCAGTTGTAATCGTAATCACAAACCGTTTCAGTGCTTCTAAATGTACGTTAAATAAATAACAGGAACAGTATACTCATACTCAGCCCTAAACCCTAAACCCTAAACCCTCTGTGGCGCCTGGGGAGGTCTGGAAGATCTTCGTTCTTTTCCAGACAGCGGGCTGAGTGTGGCCTTGCGCAGTTGGGGGGTGTCGTTGTCTAGGGTTCTTAGGATGGCTTTGGGGGTTTAGGGTTTAGGGGTCTGCGGTTTAGGGGTTTAGGGCTTACCTATAGTCTCCATTGTAGTTCCTTTTTTGGGGTTTAGCCAATTAGATGGCGGAGCTGTAGGACTAGGGATCATGCACCGGTCTTTCGATTTAGAATAAACAGACACCGTGGCACTGGGTGTCTGGGGACCGAGGCGGGGCAAAAGTTAGAAGCAAGAAGTAGCGTCAAATACAAACAAACCCCTGAGCTCCACTTACTTAATAGTAGGTTACTGACCACATAATATACAACCCAGCGACCAATACTTAGAAAACTGGCGCCCCAAGGAAAGGCAACAACCTAATTAAGTCTCAATTCACAGGGGCTGCGTATGCACTTCTCCCTGCATGTTCGAACTCAAAATTCACACACCGTAGTATATTTACGTACCCTAAACCCTAAACACCTTAACCCTAAACCCTAAGTATCATCTAGTATACTTCCCCCAGTCATGGCCTGCTCTTTCGGGGTCTGCAGCGGCTCCGCTTCGAGGTCCGGTTGGCGCTTCTTCGGGCGCTTTATTGTCTGCGCAGTCGACACGTGCACGGTTGAGGGCGCAGGGGCTACAGCTGGGTTTGGGCTTATAGAGGCATGCTTCTGGCCCTGTTTGGCTACCAGAAACTATGCAAGCGCTTGCCAAAAAAATCAGGTGATGACAGCATGATCTGGGGGTTTCCGAAAATAGGGGATCCTAATATAGTACCCCAAATAATAGGATCCTTATTATAAGGACCCCAAATAAGGTACCCCCTATTTTCGGAAACCCCCATGTGGGGGGCTGAATGTTTTCAAGCTGGTCGACCGAGTTATAGCAGGGAGCTGTCGTCTTTGAGGGGAAAGATCCCCGCTGACTCGTGGGTTTGTGACGCATAGGCCCGAGTAGAGGGTTTAGGGTTTAGGGTTTAGGGTTTAGGGCTTAGGGTTAAAACCCTAAACCCTTCGTTCATGAATGCTACGATTCGCCGAGCAGAGGGCCTACAGGAGCCTCCCAGTTGCAGACATCTCGGGAATTTCGGGGTTCGGAGATGCCCAACTGCCCATAGGCCCCATTGCAGTTCCTTTTTGGGATTACCTTATAGGATTCTAAATATGAAGCCCAAAAAGGAACTACTATGGTGCCTATGGGTTGGGATTACCTTATAGGATTCTAAATATGAAGTCCAAAAAGGAACTACTATGGGACCTATGGGTAGGCCCAACTCACCGAAGTCGAACTCCACGAACCCTGAAGGTAAGAACTCCCCAGGACCGTGGGCTTCGAACTCAAAGCCACCACCCCAGAAACTCCAATATCCCTTAATTAAGGAGTATACCTTAAATTATAGTAGGATCCCTAATATGATTTAAAGTATATCCCCTAATTAAGGAATATACCTTAAATTATAATAGGATCCCTAATATGATTTACAGTATTTCCTTAATTTAAGGAAAATACTTTACAATTAATGAAGGGATATTGGAGTCTCTGGGAGCAACCCCCTTCGAACTCAGCGGCAGAGGCGTAGCGCCACTGTAGTGGTAGGCATAGGTACCTCACGACGGGAACTGCTCAAGCCCATGCTACGCCATGAAGAAAGTCCCGTTCCCTCAACGGCTCAGGGGTTACTATACCAGTGTTGTATGGGGACCCTCAACCCTAAACCGAAACGCTAAACCCAGTGACTTGCCACATAGGCAACCGGGTTCATAGGGTACTCCTCACGAGAAGGAGCTGCACGAAGAGGCCTACCTTAAGCTTTGGCTCGAGGGCCTCGCCATCATCATCATCATGATCATCACCATCATCATGATCATCATGATCATCACCACCTCTACCATCCAACTGCATCGTCACCATCGTCATCAACAACGACCACGCCACAAAAAAAGCATCTCCATCATCTTTCCCACCACCACAATCATCACAATTCGCTTCACACTCACTGTCATTACCCCCACCATCTCAACATATCTCAATCATCTTCAGAGATCTTCAGCATCCACAACACCATTCAGCACCGCACCATGAACAGCAGCGGCACCGACGTCAGCGTCAGCATCAAGACCGTGATCATCAGCAACGTGCTCATGTTCGTTGCGACATCTGCCTCTATGCCCACCCCCCACCCCCCCCCAGCCCCCACCCCCCACCCCCCCCAGCCCCCCCCACCCCCCCCAGCCCCCCCCACGAAACCACGGCCAAAGGTACTGAGGCGAGATGGGCTCCAACGGTGGCGCAGGCTCAGACAAGCAAAGAGTACCTCGCAGGCTGGAGAAAGCAGTTGCCATTACCACAGGTTTAGGGTTTAGGGTTTAGGGTTTGCAGATGGTACTCTTTTTTGCCTATTGCCGACATGCTAGACAACTCTCTTGCCCCGGAACCCGTCGCACTCGCGGCCGAGGAGTTACCCTAAACCCTGAACCCCTAAACCCCTAAATCCTTTCTTGGAAGGTAGCCTTCATCCGCTTGAGATCTCAGGGCCTCCCGGCTCCCTGGCTTTGAATTCGTGGCTGCTAGTCAAGGGTTTGGGGTTTAGGGTATGCACACAGCGTGGGGTTTACGGTTTATTGGGGGAGGCTTGAAGGTTTAGGGTTGGGTTTATTGGGGGAGGCTTGAAGGTGTAGGGTTTCGGGCTTAGGCCCTAAACCCTAAACCCTAAACCCTAAGTAGGGTTGAGGGGTAGGCTCTGGAGTTGAGGGTTTAGGGTCTCCCGAGACTCAGACCGAAGTGGCGACCCTAATCCTGATAGTTAAAAGCTAAGCCGCCTTGTTCGAAACCCTAAGCGCTATCCCTAAACCCTTAACCCTGAACCCTAAACCCTGAAACCTAAACCCGAACGGCCATAAACCCTACCCAGCTTTATTTGCCTCTCCTCTGCAACCAAAGGTGCTCCAAGTGGACTCAGCAACGGCTTGGTGAGCTGATGGTTCACATCCTTACAAGTATTTAGGCTTGAGGGTGTAGGGGTTCAGTGGGTTTAGGGTTTAGGGGTCTAGGGTTTAGGGGTTAAGGGTTGGGGGTTTGGGGCTTCAGGAATTCTGCTTGAATCAAGAGATTAGGTTCCTATCAGGGTTTAGGGCCTAAGGCTTTCTGCTGACTACTGCAAAGGCTTCTGTAAGGATTTCTATGGGGGGCTCTACACCCTTTGCTTTTAAGGTTTCGCTATATAAACATAAAGCGGCTTCTACAATCTACATGCTTCTAAGAGGAAGGCTCGGGAGCGAAATCGAACAGAACCACCCGGTTCCAGGTTGTTCTCAGCTTCATGTTTCAGCCCAGAGAACCCAATAGCCCTAAATTAAGGAATATACCTTAAGTTATAGAGGCCTTGATATGATGACTTGAGGTATATTCCTTAATTATGGGGTATTGGGTTCTCTGGGAGTGCTGAATGTAAGCGCTTACATAGGGAGTTTAGCGTTTGGGCTACTCACTGAGGGCTACTGGGCTGGTAAAGTGAAAGTACTAGGTGCCGCGAGACTAAGACTCACAATGTAGATATATGTTGGTGCATTGACAAGCAAACGAGGAGTTGTTACTCCCACCTAAACCTGCCAAGAGCGAACAACGCCGCGAAAGGTACCGAAAGCCGCTTCAGGACAACCTATGCCCCGAACACCGCGCATCGGAAATCCTCAGCCCCAATTGAACTATCCTCACCAGACCAAGACAAGACCCACCTCCTCAAATCTGCGAAAACACTACCTTAACCTACCAAAACCCACTATTTTGCAGGTTGCTATTATAAACCCTAATATGGGATTTATGGGGAACCTACAAAAAAATTAGGTTCTGGTGGGTTAAGGTATGGGCCGAGACCTTCAAGCAATCTCAGTACTCTCTGGTATCTTTCCGATCGGGCCGCCACACCTGCCGCCACCAAGACGGAGACCACCTTGGCTGATGCACCTCCAGGGTGGCTTTGGGTTTAGGGTGTTAGACCCTGATTAATCAACCCCTCCCTCCTGCACAGGATTTTAGTACACCCTAAACCCTAAACCCTAAACCCTAATCCTTACATTGGCCCTCAATGATAAGGGGTACCAATCAGGAGTCTAAACTCAGTTTCAGAAGCTTCTGAAAGCCTAAACCCCGAAAAGTTGAACAGGCCTGCCGGATTTCCTAAACCCTAAACCCTGAACCCTAAACCCTAAACCGGCCTCCATGTAGGAGTGCTGCGTGCAGCCCCTCCGCCAGCTCCTCCCGCGAGGCGTAGGCGATGAGCTCCTCTGGAGGAGTTCTGGGAATCCCATACGCTGCCTTTTTTGGGGGGTTTAGGGTTTAGGGTTTAGGGTCTTTTTAATTCTAGGGTTTGCGGTTTCCCAAGAAGACCTTGCGTTTTTTGGGTTTTGGGTTTTGGGTCTGTTTGGGCTTACAAGTAGTCTCGCATTCTATGGTTTCGGCTAACCCGCCTTGTCAGAGATCAGGACCCACTCAGCACTACAGAAAACACGTGGACAAAAGACAAAAGAAAACATGGGACTCTAGCCGAAGACCTCTGAAACACCCTTGCAAACCTGAAGATTGCATACGGGATCAAGCCCGTTAAAAATAGTCTATACCCATGGGCCCTAAAGTAGCTCCTGTTTGGGGCTCATATTTAAAATCCTGTAAGGTAATCCCAAAAAGGAATTATTATGGTGCCTATGGGTAAAAAAAAAGAAAAAAAGATGAACTACTATGGGGCATATGGGTATAGCTGTCCTGGATGGCTTCCACCCCGCCCCCGGCACAAGCCATGGCAAAGGGTGAGTAGCCTCAAATCCACGCTGTGCTTCCGCTGTGCTTTAGGGCTTAGGGCTTCTGGACTAAACGCGGCCATGTCTTTGAAAAAGGTAACATGTAGTAGGGTTCATTAGGGCTGTATTCCAGGATTTCTGGAATCATCTAAGCCAGGACTTTACAACTCTACAAACTATTTGCAGCTCAGAGTTGAGATCCATGGTTGAGAGGCAACGGTTCATAATGCCACACTAAACCCTGGAACCTTTTGAAGTCGCAGGTAGACAAAATTTAGGGTTTGGGTATGTTCCGGCGAAGTACGCGATATGGGGTTTCTGGGTAAGCCCAACCCACGAGTTCTGGATGATCACTAGCCCCATTTTCGGAGTGGGACTGGAGTGGGAGGGCTCGGGGCGTTTTTGTGGTATTTCGTGTCCTGCCTCATCTTCGAGAGCTGTATAGGGCTCACAGAGATGAAGAACACTGCTAACTTTTGGGGCTCCCATATTCGCTGCCCTTACCTGTCTTACCTTCGATGCCGGTGGCAGTATAAGAGTCTGTAAACACATATTATGAACTTACAACGCCGTCTCGTGGCTGATAAGGGGCTCGTTTTCGGCCGTATAATTCGGGTTCAGTAGCGTGCCTTCGCATGCAAGCAGTGTGCGCGTGGCAGGCACCGCTTGATCCAAAGCGTCCTAATTTCATGATCGCCAAACGCACATTACAGCTGCTATCTAATCCCTATGCCACCCTTTCCGAGCTCTGAATCCAAACCATACCACCACCCGACAAAAATCACGAAGTGGAGCCCGTGTTGAACTCGCTGCGTGTACTGAACTCTCTAGACTGCTGACCGAAGAAATGTCGGTAGCTGCTCGGTGGAGGCATACAGCAGTTTGAGGCATCAGGGCTTATGTTAAGTTGTTTGGGATCGCTCAGCCACGAAATGGCACAGGATCCCAGAACGAAAGAAGCTGCTCTGCAGACCCAAGGCACCAAGCATGTTCGGCACGTGGCATCCGAGGCCCGCATCGCACAAGATCTGAATTCCTGCCCAGGGTGCCGGGTGAATTTCAGGGTTTAGGGCTTAGGCTTAGGCTTTGGAACTCTTTGTCCCGAGATGGACCCTAAAGGGTAGGAGTAGGATCCTCATCCTACAGGAACCTTCAACTTCGCGCCCCGGATTCGAAGACTCACCCCATCAATCGGAGGCCACAACCAAGAAATGAGGTCTCAAGGGAAAGATTCGAAGGTAGTCTCGGGTGCAGGGACGTCAGGCTCAGGCTGTTTCCCGGAGGCGTAACAGCCCAAAACATGCATGGCGGGGCTCGGGTCGAGCTTGGCGCCTGTACTGGGTCGAGAGAGTACCCTTATGCTCGCGACTGCACTCGTCCAGCTCTTGCAAAGCAAGGTTGTTCCGCGTCTGTTGTGCGGTCGGGACATAGCTTCAAGGAGTTTGACGGGGGTACTACGGCTAGGTGTTCGACTTTCGCAGCACGTCCTCCCATGCGGCTCGAAATTTTCAATCCTTGGCATGCATCACAAGACCACCTCGGGCAAATTGTTGTTGGCGTCTCCAACCCTTACCTCAAACCGTGATCTTAGCGACCTAAACCCGCGGTGAGGTTTAGGGTTGAACCCAAAGCCCTAAACCCTCTAGGGTTGGGTTTCTGCTCTCACGACTCGGACTTGCCAGGTAAGGTCGTTAAGGTTTCAAGGTCACTTGCTCGATGTCGTGGGTTTGATTGCGCCTTTCAAGTCACACAATGACAACTTAACACACAAGAACAAGTTGTGCACCACTTGAAATGTCACAGACCTTAAACCCTAAACCCTAAACCCTAAACCCCTAAACCCTAAACCCTAAACCCTAGACCCTAGACCCTATAAGGCTTAGCCCAACCCTGGAAACCTGGTCCCGTCTGCTTCTGACCTTCGGCATTGTCGGCTACAGCTGCCCAGTGAAGTGCATTGGCGCCGTAGCCATCGGCATGGTTCCTTGAAAGGTCCGTCCAAGGCTTACATGTCTACAAGTCTACGAGGGTTTGGGGCTCTGGTAAGGTTCATGGCCTCCTTTCCGTGTCACAGATTTCGGCTCTTCCCGGAAAGCCCCATCCCCGAACCGCAGCACGCACACAGCCGGGTTTCTATTTCTCTAGCTGAAACCCATATGCTAAAAACCGAAACTCTGAACCCAAAGCCGTTGAAGGGTTTAGGGTTTTGGGATTAGGGTTTCGGGGGATACCGGACTCTCAAGTTTCATATCCCCCAGCCGGACGGGATGTTCAGCCAGGGCCCTGGTTGCTTTGAGCGGTTTCTGGCCGTTTTGGCGCTCGGACAGTGACCACGGAGTTTCTGGGTTTTACCCATAGGCCCCATACTAGTTACTTTTGGGGATTAGCTTATAGGATTTTATAAATGAACCCCCCAAAAAGAACTACTGTAGGGCCTATGAGTAGGGCTTCAGGTCCTTCTTTAGGTCCCCAACATAGTAACCGTTATACAAAGGACCCCAACAGGGACCCTAATTTAGAACCCCTATACAGGTTAAGGGCTTCGGAGTTCTGGGCCGGGCCCTCCTTTCAGGTGGTCAGTGCCCTCAGACATCCTCAAACTGCACCACCACACACCCACGAAACCCCCTAAACCCTTTTTTTGAGCAGGGACTGCAATGCACTAAGCCCCCTAAACCCTAAACCCCTAAACCCCTAAACCCTCAACCCCGAATGTGAAGATCGGTCAGGTTGCACATCCGCGCCCGAAGCGAGAAGAATCCTGTTAATGCCACCATCACACGGCTGGCATTCATGTATAGTATCTGGTAGTATACTGTAGTACAACATCGTATACTGGTATCTTATGGTATAGTATGGTATAGTATAGTATGTTGTAGCACTGTACATTGTAGTATACATACTATGGTATAAAGAACGTGTGTGTGTGTGTGCTTTGGGTTCGGGGCTCTTCCCCTAGGTGTTCATGAACCCATATGTATTCACTTCTGCAGATATGGACCCGAATAAAGCACAGATCTGGAAATAAATAAAGAAATATATATATATATATATTGATAAAGATAGAAGTAGACATATAGACATAGATACAGACACAGACATAGATGTAGATCTAGACCTAATCTAGACATAGATACAGATATTAGATACTTGTCTTTGTTCTGAAGGCCCTCTGGTATGTCTATCTGTCAACCTATCTACCAGTTTAATCAATTTCTTTGTCAGCGAACCAATCAATCAATCTGTCTACCCCAATCCATCTATCTATCTATCCATCTATTGTTGATGCCCAAAATCCTGAACGACCTAAAACATCGTACATGTTCCATGTCGCGCTATCCATTTCCCTGCAGCCCCTGAATTCAATGTTTTATCCCCACGGGGTCATGCAGTATTTTTATTGCATTCGAGCAGGGCCTTTTCCAGCCGCTGCATCAAAGCAATATTAAAATTAGGGGTAGCAGGGGAATCGTAGGGATGTTCAAAGTCATGCAGGATTACGGGCATCAGCCGTATTGGTCCATCTATCTATCTATCAGACTATCTATCTATACCTCTAGCCCTTACCTGTCTATGTACCTACCTGCATACTGCCTACGTGTCTACCCTTGCTAGGGAGCTCGGATCTGTCTGTCTAGCTGTCACCTATCTATTTGCTTATCTAGCTGCCTCTCTGTTCCTCTATCTCTCTACCTGTTTATGTACCTAACTCACTAACTATCTATCTATCTATCTACCTATCTGTGTATCTGCACATCTACCATGACTACGGTGCACAGTTTGGAGGTGCTCAAAGAAAGTCAGGAGGCCCATGCTCGGGTTTAGGCGTATGATCATCGAAAAATTGGGATCTATGTGACGATTTCAGGATGCAAGGTTTCAGGGTTAGGGGCTTGCAGCCGGAGCCCTCGGAGAGGCAGCTTGGAGCATGAATCGTATCTGAGTCTAAGACCGGGCATCGGGCGTTTAGGATACGAGTATCACCGAGATCCACAAGCAGAGCCTAAGTTTTGCTTACTTTTGAGGCTACGATTCCTGGCAAGCCAGCACTACATAAAGATGAAAACTTCAACATGGTAATTAGCATCTGGTAGCATCACCACTAAGCAAGTAACGATATGGACACTAATGTCGCCCGAGCCCAATCTACACTGAATATACACAGCCAACCAGCCCCCGCACCTGAGGGACTCGTTGCGCTTCAAAAACGCGCACCTCGGTGCTCAGCATCATGGCATTCTATGCACATCGAATAAGAGCAAGGCGCTCTGAGATCTTAGGTGCTGCCCGAGCCACATGTGCAGTGCGGATGTCTGCGCTGCGAATTGGCAGAGGGGCTCCGGCTCCGAGATGGCATCGTTTGGGTCCGCCTGTTCAAAGATCCTACATGGAGGTCTGTAAACACTTAAGCAACCTTCTACTCATCTTCATCGCAGTCACCATTGAGGCATTCGACATCATCACATTGACGATCCTCATCATAAACCCTAAACCCTAAACCCTTTTGAAACCGGACTTGATGACTGCCAGCATTGCCTCCTCTGCCGTTCTTCAGCCGGGCCTAAACCCTAAACCCCAAACCCTCAAGGGCTTTGGGTGTAGGGCTTTAGGGTTTAGGGTTTAGGGTTTAGGGTTTAGGGAGGGCTTTAGGGTGTAGGGTCTTCATCACGAGCTGGCCTTCTCCTGCAAAAGGGAGTAAACGAGCAGCGGATCCCCGACCAATGCCGCGTAGCAAAGCGGCGTCCAACCCTTCTCATTGCCTCGACACAAAGCTCAGGGGATGGATCAACAATGAAAATGAAGCTTCATATCTAAATACACATACATACATAGATATAGATATCTTCATATATATATATATATACATATCTATCTATCTATCTATCTACCTACCTACCTACCTACCTACCTATCTATCTATCTATCTATCTATCTATCTATAGAGCAATTACCTGTAGACAAAGACATGTACTGAATTAACGGACGTTTGCGAGCAAATCAGCATAAGGAGCTCTAAGCAAGGCACTTGTTGGGGCTTCTTGTGAGAGTAGATGTGACATGTGCTTCCATGACAGATACTTTACATGCACACTACAATATTATAGAGGCCCCAATAATGAATCAGAGTAAGGTTTTGAGGTAAATCATTTTTTTCTACAACTGAATTTCAAGAGGGTTTTAATATAAGTCAAGTCTTTTATATAACAATACTCTTGATGCTTCCAAACCATCACTTAAGCCCTAGACCCTACTGCTCAGCCCGGAGCTCTCTTCTGGCCGAGTCACGGTCAAGGAAGCCCGTAAAACAGTTCTGATGCATGAACCTCGCATTGGAGTGGGTTTAGGGTTTGGGGTTTAGGGTTTAGGGTGCATGAACCTTGCATTGGAGTGGGGCTACGCAGGGTTGGCTCCAAGCATCGTCAGAAGGCTTCATATAAGGTCCTCAGTAATAAAAACAGGGTTTTGGAGTTTATAATACATTAAACTAGTAAGCTGTCACTATACTTTACGGGGTACATGATACATTCCTATACTATGACCATGACAAGGAAGCCTACCTATATTAGGGCCCTCAGCCCTTGAATGCCTTTGTTGACCTCTGGACATCAAAACAACCAAGGTCTACTTATAGTCTTCATGGTAGTTCCTACTTCTTTGGTCTAACCACTTTCATAGTTTTGATCCTACAGCGGTAGCTGATATGTGTCGGGCCCTATAACGTAACCCTGAAAAGGAACTACAATGGAGACTATAGGTAGGGTTCATGGTCTCAGGCTTTCGAGCTGTAGGCGTTGATCTGCTTCGAGCATGGCAGCCTCTCGGTCTAGCTTCGAGGGCCTGCGGGTGCAAACGCAAGAAAAGGAGGCCTCAAACAGGGTTTTGAGAGATTTACCTGTGACATGGTAAAGAACTCTTAAGGAGTAATGAGAATTAAATACTACGGCCGCTGTCGTCGCCTTAATGGTCAGCACACAACTTGTGGGGTGTACGGTATATATGATACTGGAACTATAATCGGGACTATAGTTATTATAGGCGGAGACCATGTCGACTTATTCTTACAGGCTTGACAGCTCGAGGATCTGCCTCTGGACGCTGAAGATGGCGTGAGTCATGAAGAAACTATCTGGGCGGTTGCCCGACCGAATTCTTGATAGCAGGTTGTTGTGTTGCCGAACCTATGTTCGGTTACGGGCGCGATGAAGTGGGCATTTCAAGGTAACGAAGCACCCCACAACCTCCATGATGTCACCCAGTGAAGCCGGAACTCCGGAACAGGATCATGCAAAGACAGAAACCTGGCATAGGAAACCGGACAACACAACTCTGAACCAAAGCACCTTCCGCACATTGGGTGGTTGTCAAAATGATGGTCCGCCTTTTTGGGTCCGTAACACAATACGGCACCTAATATTTAGGGTACCCAAAAAGGGACCCTAATTTTGACAACCACCCACATAAAGGAGCCCATTTACAGGAACCTTCGACTGCCTGCGAGGATCCTCGCAAGGCAGGCGTAAATCGGAAGACAACTCCACCACGAATCCCAGAGGAGCGCACAGACAATAGGGTTTAGGGTTTAGGGTTTAGGGCCCTAACCATTGGAACAGGGTGCTGGGGTCCCTTGTAGTATGCTTGCAGACTTATAACAGGAACTACAAGGATATTCTATTTCTTCGCACCTCTGTATTGCCAAAGCAGCCACTAAAGAAAAGAAGTGCATAAAGCCGCACACCCGCCGAAGCAGAAGTTTCCCCATCTGCGGGTCCGTCTCTACCCCAAACCCCCTCGTCCCCAAACCCCCTAAACCCTAAACCCCCTAATCCCTAAACCCTAACCCCCTAAACCCCTAAAGCCTAAACCCCCTAAACCCTAAACCCCAAACCCCCAATTACCCAACCCAACCCTCAGGCCAAGGATCTGCGCCAGGAGATACTCCGCCGGATCCTTGGCTTCGGATTGAAAGCCTGGAACGAAGTCGTAGGCCGGCCTCAGGGTTTAGGGCTTAGGGGTTAGTGTTCAGGGCTTGGGGGTTCCGGGCTTGGGGTTTAGGAGCCCTGTGAGGGTCTTTAGGGTTGAGGGATGAGGGTGTTTGGGTTTAGGTTTTAGGGTTCAGGGCTTGGGGGTTAGGGTTTGGGGTTTAGTCTTCAGGGCTTGGGGTTTACGGCTTAGGGCTTAGGGTTTAAGGCTTAGGGTTCAGGTTTTGGGGTTTAGGGTTTAAGGTTCAAGGCTTGGGGTTTAGGGCTTGGGGTTTAAGGCTTGGAGTTTAGGGCTTCGGGTTTAGGGTTCGGGCTTAGCGTTAGGGCTTAGGGTTTAGGGTTGGGTGAGGGATCAAAAAAAATTAAATGAGGATCAAAAAAATTAAACCACAAAGATCAAAAAACAATTAAAACCAGGATCAAAAAAATTAACGCAGTAGGTATGCAACGAAGCTGGGGAAAAATCTAGGGGTTACGGATCAAAAAAATAAATCAGGATCAAAAAAAAAACAAAACGGGGATCAGTAATGGTCGTAGTAGTACTAGTAGTAGGACCCCCCCCAACTACACTTGCTAAAATCCATTTTAAGAGCACATCCGTTATACTCGGTATTTACAGCACTTTCGTCATGTACGGCCTCAAAATCGACTTGCCGAGTTTGCAAACTCGGCTCATGACGACAGTGCGACGCAAACACAACCAACAATATCACCACAAGAGCCGTTTTACTCGGTATTTACAACACTTTCGTGATGTCGTACTTTCTTATATAGTTGCCACCCCTACTTCTGGACTGCGCGTCTTAAACTTTGAGTCTCGCACGGCTTGCAGCGAAAACTCGAAATCGGTTGGGGGAACGTTTTTCTCGGTATTTACAGTACTTGTGCACTCGACCCCGCTTTTACACGGTATTTACAGTACTTTTGGTGATGTTGGTGATGAAAAGTGATGAAACGTGTTTGATTTTTCGTGATGTTGATGATGAATTGTACTTGCTTTTTGGTGATGCTGGTGATGAAATGTGTTTGCTTTTTCGTGAGCACACAACCCAGCTTTTACTCGGTATTTACAATACTTTTGGTGGTGTTGGTGATGAAAGGTGATGAAATGTGTTTGCTGTTTTTGTGATGTTGGTGATGAAATGTGTTCGGTTTTTTCGTGATGTTGGTGGTGATGATGTTGGTGACAATGACGAAGTGCAGTTGGTAGCTGGGGGGGTGGCTAGTAGTAGGAGTAGTAGTAGTCCGAGTAGTAGTAGTAGTAGTAGTAGTAGTAGTAGTAGTAGTCGTCGTACTAGTAGTACTAGTGGTACTAGTAGTACTAGTAGTACTAGTGGTACTAGTAGTACTAGTAGTACTAGCAGTAGTAGTAGTAGTAGTAGTAGTTGTTGTAGTTGTAGTTGTAGTTGTAGTAGTTGTAGTAGTAGTAGTAGTAGTGGTAGTAGTAGTAGAAGCAGCAGCAGCAGTAGTAGTAGTAGTAGTAGTAGTAGTAGTAGTACTAGAAGTAGTAGTAGTAGTAGTAGTAGTAGTAGTAGTAGTAGTCCTAGCAGTAGTAGTAGTAG